GTGGTGATATAATAACTGAATTTGTTGGATTAAGAGCGAAATTATATTGTATTGATTCTAAAACAACCTCTAAAGGAAAGCTAAGGGTATTAAAAAATCTATTACTAAAAATCTTAATATTGAAAAATATAAACGAGCCTTATGGTCTAATGAAAACTTTAGAAAGAGTATGTGTATGATTAGATCAAAGAATCATCAAATATTTACTCAAAAAGTTGATAAACTTGTACTTAATAGAGATGATGACAAAAGACAAATTATGGCAGATAGCTACAATACGTTACCGTGGGGACACTATAAACTATATTTTAATAAATTTGAATGTAAAACTATGTAATGCTACTACTATGTACTGTATAAGTATGTAAGAGATAAATGTATGCTAATTTAAAATAAATAAATATTTAATTTTAATAAATACATTCGTTGTAACAATAAATGTCTTATCTTTTTTCCTCTACACAATTGAATAATAATGATACATAATAAAACAACAATAAAATTCAATGTATAACTTTTATTGTATTTTACAAGCTACATTACTTAAATTACTAGTTCTCACATAATTTTTCACGTATTTTTTTATAAGACAATTTGTAGCATCTAACACTTCATCATAAATTGAATCCACAACATATTGAACACTTATATTAGCACTAAGATCGTGGATGGCATTTTCTTCTTGCTCGTTAAGTTCGCAAATGCTGATTTTAATCAGACGATGTCCTCGTTTATCTTTATCTCGGTGGATAATGTATGATGATGATAATAATTCTTGAGAACGGTTTCTCTTCCTGTAACATTTCTTTGATTTCGATGGCTGCTCTTCATTAATAGCTATTCTATTTGGTGGTACATTGTGAAGCTGCTCTATTCGGTTGTAATAATTTAGTGTAAATTTATCCACATCCTGTGCATAATAATACGGATTAGTGATGGGATTAGAATCATTGTGTTCCTCAGTGTTGGCCATGATCTGCAATTAACAAAAACAAGTATGAAGTCAAAAAAGGTAATGGCGGTTGAATAGTAAAAAAGTTGATTAATCTCATCAATATAGATGATATTTGACGAGCGTTGTAATCAACGTGCACTCGCTATGAGAATAAAAAAATAATGAAACAATTGAGGGAGAGCGGGAGGCGCTCTTCAATCCAGGTAAGACATATAATTTTATTTAATTAGCGGTTGGTTGCAAATTTATTAATATCTTTATTATAATGGATTTCCGCAAAGTAACGACCGATTCTATCAGTTAAATTAGCATAAGCCTAGCTTCGCACACCTGACCATAAACAAGAAATTATAGATGTTTTATATTAATACGATAGATTTTGCTAATGAATTATCCAAAAAAAAGTTTATTAGCACTAACTACAACGAAGTTAGGCTAAACAAGTTGTATTATTAGAAATTAATCATATAGATGCGTTAATACCAGCAGTATCTCGCAAACGCTCTGAATATAATGCTCAATAACCCAACTGGAAGTGGAAGTACACTTATTCCCGCAGGATATAACTGTGAGTATGTAGACGTTAATTTGGTTAAACTAAAAATGTTGTACCTCTACTGGAGAGAATTGGGGTCTTCAGTGGCATATAGCTCGAGCGAAGCGAGAGCAAGTGACGCAGAAGCCCCAATTCTCACCTACTACCGTGCGGTGTAATAACACTAAGGGAGTTAGGGCGCTTATTCGATTCGCGACTAGGGATGCAAATGATGCATCAATTCTTTCAAACATCGATATATCGTTCATAAACATAGTTCTTCATGAGTGATGTTGTATGTACGATGTTTTGGCTTGCCGTCAAAGGTTACGAAATAATAATAATAATAAAACGGAGTAGGACGTTTTGTGACAAAACTGCTACGTCGGCGCAGTCAGCCAGCGTCCTGCCAAGAGGTGTGAGTTAGGGATGGGCCGAATATGGATTTCACTGAATACAAATATTCGGCCGAAAGTTCAGTAAAATTTTTACCGATCCGAATGTTCAGCCGAACATTATTCGGCAGGATTACCTCGGTACCTAACCAATTTATGTCGAAACTTGTTATCGTAAAGCGCACGGGATTAGCGCCGGACCCTTCCCCTCGCTCCCCCACCAAACCTGACATGTTATTGCATCATCTAAATCTAAATATAGGACTGAGCAAATTGCTGGCACATGCCTATGTTTTGACTATTTTTGTGAGAAAAAAGTATTTCGTTGTGTTATTCTTAGTGAAAATTGATAGTTGTATACGATGAAAATGAGTGGCAGAAAATCTACTATTTGGACCTATTTTAGAAAAACTGACGACTGTAATGTAATGTTTCTTTGTTTGATTGTAAACAAAATTTTATCAAGCTTTCTATTTGCTATAATTATAAATAAATCTACAGCCTCAAAACCGTACATAAATACAAGCAAATTTAACCCATAAATAAAAAAAAATTCAACAGCAAAATTATGAAAGACATGGCATTACCAATTTAACGAATATTCGGTGTATTAGCCGAATACGAATATTCGGTAAAGCTGACGAATATGCCAAATACCCACTGACCTCTATATATACAAGTACGCTGGACTGGCTATACCATACAAAAAGACTGTGCCAATTTGAAGCGCCGCTAAAGGATGTCTTGAAAAATAAAATTGACATAATATGTCAAAGTCTGTTGTCTTATTTATATTGTCTTATTTCATAAGTCTGTATTTTGAACTTTTAAACTAAAAAACGAAATTATTTTGTTATATTAGTTACATAATAAGAATTATTTTTATTAATAATGAGAGTGTGCGTAATTTGTAAAACTCGTTACCAAAAGGGAAGTGATATAACATTTCACAATTAAGTGAATTTGCAGCAAATATTAAACAAATTAAAACTATTTGATAAGTACTTAAAATTTTGTTACTAATCTTAATATCATATATACCAACATGTTTCGGTGTATATTACTGAGTTTTGATAAACAATAAAATTCAATAGGGTTATCAAGTTCCTTGTATATAATACTTATCGATGTTATTTCCTACCCATATGTGTTAACAAAAAAAGTCGCCAACAACGGATGATTATCAAATGTTTATTAATTAACAGGTTTCCAGCTGAACCTAGACTAAAATTATGGCTTAAAAGCATAAATATTGTGAACTGGTGTCCGAAACAAAATGATCACATTTGTTCCAAACATTTTACAGACGACTGTTTTATTAGACATAACTGCACCACTTTGAAAAAGTGCAGTATACCGACAATATTTTCTGGTACCAGTAACCAGTATGTATAAAAGTATTAGATTATTATTTCGAATGTTTTTTTTATTTCTTCTTTCCTCATTTTCCACCAAACTCAAGGGCCATAGCCAAGTGTCGAAAGATCGCCTGATGATGTAGAGCCACGTTGGAATGTGTTAGTGGGCTGCGGCTAGAGGAGATTCTAGATCCTTTCCCTGGACCGCTGTAGTCGAGGTGGAGTCGTAAGAGAAGAGGAGTGTTGGTATGGCGATTGGCGATGCGCCACTCGACTATCTTTCGCGACTTTGGTGAGGCTGCACTACTTGAAGATTCCAAGTGCTCGTTTTTCCCTGGCTCCATTCACATATCGGGCTCGGGGAGTCCGTAGTGCAGCTCGTATCTCTATAAATGTTTCCTCGGTTTAAGATCTTTGTAGAATATTTAGAGACGATACCAGGAGACCTGACGGTATGGGTTTGGTTGCTTGAGAGAGAGAGAGAGAGAGATAAAGCTTTAGAGTGGGATACTACTTGCGAATACTTTGACAGCATCCCATCTCAGTGGTGCCTCGTCTAAAGCAGGGGTGGCATTAGAGGCAACTGAACCAAGTAAATAGCCCAGAGTATTTGGAAGATAAGTACATATTTGTTCAATTTGCTGTAGAGACTATTGGTCCGTAGGGTGCGCGTGTGGTGTAGTTCCTAAAAAACTATATCTGCGACTGATCATCGCTGCTGGTCATGAGAAGTTGTTTCGTTTGTTGTTTCCTCACTTGAAGGCTAAGTATAGCCATTCAGTGAGGACACGTAGCCAGCATTCTTGGGATGATACCACAGAAAGTAGGACTTTATGATAACTTCAGTTATTTTTTTAAAATTTTAATTTAAATTTCGAAAATGCCGTTGTAAATAACTGATAACTATGTAATTCAAAGTTTATATTTTTTTATATTATATTGCTAGCTCGTACCCGGCGCATTGCTGCCGCAGAAGAAATAATTGTGGAAATATCGTTAAAAATGTGGAACAGTTATATTGTATAATTAGGAATAATAATACAATCGTTGAATTAGAATGATATATAACTTTCAAATAAATAGTCGGTATAATACGCACGTCACCAAGTGTCATTTAATTGTACCATGCGTATAACCTTCGCATAAGTGCAACCAATAAGTTGACTAAGTTTGACCCCAATCTGATGAACGGTATGGCATCGTAGAAAGTACGAACAAACATAAATTTTTATGAACCACGAAACAGTGTCGAGCTTGGGCGTCTACCGTTATTTGGCACCCATAAATTGGATGATGGCACAAAGAGGAACGCGCATAGGGCCGCTGCCTGAGGGTCGCTGGGGTGCGTCTGAAGCTGGCGCTGGACGCGGCAGCATGTGGGCCGCCAGCCGAGCGCGAAGAGCTGCACGATTGCCTAGCAGCCTCCCGCATCCATCATCCCCACCAGAATGCTTTGTGTCGGCTGGGTCTTCTCGGACTCAGCAAGCGGCACCCGCCACTGGTGGAGTACGTCGCATGCGTTGGACAAAAACTATGAACGAAAATGAATTGCGGGCGTACTATAGGGCGAAAAGGGAAGAAACTGCGGGAATATAGAGCTCGGATGCATTGCTTTTTTGATGAGCTGGAGCCATCTATTCCCGTCACGGAACAAAACCTAGCAGACAGAGTTCAGTACATCATGCGCTTATATATTTGATGATGCCGAAATCAAACGACTACGACGTGAGGCTATTCCCTCATCGAATGAATCGGCTATGGCTGGGGATGCGGCTCCACAGGCAACAGACCAGCATCCATACGTGGAAGCGGCTATGGATCTTCCGGTTGTGGTTGGTTCGGACAATGATGAAATAGTCTCCCACGAACTAGAGCAAATGAGGAGCATATTGGAAGAGGTGATTTTGGTAACGCACAACATGCCTCTCGAAAATCCTTTGCTAGACTCAATACTCAACTCTTTTTGGCTGACTCAATTCTTTTTGGCGCCGCAGTGGCAGTTTGCCGTATTATTGGCGTCAAACTTCCAATGGCTGAACGCGCTACTAGACAAAGTAGCGCCATCCCAGCCTGGAGAAAACGAATCGAGGACCGTATCGCAAAGGGGAGGGCCCTTATCGGCAGACTGACAAGCTTCAGGTCAGGTAATAATAGACCGAGGATTATGCGCACCGTTAGAATGGCATTTGCTGGGACAAACTGATATCTGAAGGGGTTCTTAGTGTGTCACACTGTGCTTCACCGACAGTTTCAAGAGGTTCTCGACCAGAAGTCGCTCCCGAGCCTCTTCACTACTGGGATCACTAACTTGGTTCCTAAAGATCAGAATACTACAGACCCGAGCAAATACCGCCCCATCACGTGTCTACCCACCATATATAAGACCATAGATAAGACACTGACATCCATTTTGAGCGCGAGAATAACTCGTCATCTGCTAAATCGAGTGATGTCACGCGCTCAAAATGGATGTCGGGGCAGTGGTCGTGGAACCAAGGAACCACTCCTCATTGACGCGATCATTGGCAAAGTGGTGAAACGCAACCGTCAGAACTTCTCTGCCACCTGGATAGACTACAAAAAGGCGTTCGACTCGGTGCCCCATACATGGCTAAAGAGGGTCCTCGAGCTGTACAAGATTGACTTTACAGTTAGAAACTTCCTCGAGCAGTGTATGGGGCAGTGGAGTACGACCCTTTGTCATCTGGGTGAGCGGATGACGGCTGCGGAAAGCCGCATAAGGATAAGAACGGGTATCTTCCAGGGTGACTTTCTGAGTCCAATCTGGTTCTGCCTCTCTTTGAACCCTCTCAGTACTTTACTGAAGGGCTCCGGGAGGGGATTTCAGCTTCGGAAAGGAGGTACAAAAGTGACCCATCTTTTCTATATGGTTGACCTCAAGTTATTCATCCAGAGTAGTTAGTTAGTACCAATTCGGGCTCACTGAGTCAGAAGTGGTACAAGTACGACGTTCGTCGACTCACGATCCAAAAAAAAAAGGTTTTGGCATGCTCTGATCACGAGTCTGCGGTATGTTTTTGCGTCGTAATAAATTTAGAGTAGTTAGTTAGTACCAATTCGGGCTCACTGAGTCAGAAGTGGTACAAGTACGACGTTCGTCGACTCACGATCCAAGATAAAGGTTTTGGCATGCACTGATCACGAATCTGCGGTCTGTTTTTGAGTGGGATGCACGGTTCCGGAGATGTGCAGATCAATTAACTCTTATCTAATTGATATCCGGTGAGGGCCTCCACCGTCATTAGCGCTCCATTGTTATTATCTATTGTTCATTGAATACCGTCATTGTCTATTCGTGTGTCGGATTATCAGTGCTATAGTATTATACTCCTTTGTTCCTAGCTGCAACGCTAATCTGAATCATCAATAAAATACATTACCTAATTTTGTTACAATTTTTATTTACGAAATACAAAATCTTATTACTTATTATCTATAAAATAGGAGCGAAACATCTCATCCACAAAATATCGTTGTACGATGTGTTCCCTGTAAATATACTCGTAAAACTATGCATTGAACATCCCTGAAACTTATATAGCAAATACATTAAGCAATATTCGCCACGAACTGAAGTCTACTCATTCTGAATCCTATCAACATTCCAGTTCCATCTTTTACAATTCCTTTTTAAAAACTCTAGATGATATCGTACAGGTGCTCGTCCATATGAATCAAAATATTGACCGACGTCATTCGTATCGATATATAAAGCTACCCAATGTGACCCTGGTTCATCATCTGTACCCAAATTGCATATTACCTAGTCAGGTCATAAATTCTATCACATGTTTAATATAAAATAATTGAAACAAGTTTATTCATTATGTAAACATTTATATACCAAAATGAACTTAATAAAACATAGATTCTTATGACACTATAGTATATTCAAAATAACCTCCGTGATTTTGAATACAGGCCTTCAATCTGCGCGTCCAGTCGTCTATCGCAGCACGAACGAGGTCCATGTCAATATCGGCGGCTGCCTTAATCAGGGATGTCTTGAGTGACTCCAAATTGGGATGAGGCTTTGAGCACGCCTTTTTCTCCAAGTGTTGCCATATCTTGTAATCTAACGGATTCAAATCTGGACTGGAAGAGGGCCAGTCTTCGTGCCGGATGAAGTCGATTTCACGTGCCGCCAGCCAGTCTTGTGTGCTCTTCGCTCTATGAGCTGACGCCGAATCTTGTTGGAATACCCAGTGCCTGTTATTGAACATGGTATGAAAAACAGGTTACACAAGGTTCGTCAGGACTGTATTTTGATACACAACTGCATTCGTTTTTACACCTTTCTCACAAAAATGTACCTCTGTTAAGCCCCAATAAGAAACTCCCAACCATACCATCGCGAGCGAGCGAGGATGGAAAATGACCTCTTTGGACACGCGGAATACGGTTGCTCGCTTCTTCACTACTGTGTGCGTACACCTTATCATTTTGTTTGTTGTAACTCTCTTCTACGGTAAAAATTTTTTCATCCGAAAAAAGAATTTCCCGATATTTTTTTCCCGCGTACCGCTTAAACAAAGCGCGGCATCTCTTCAGTCTCGGGTCCATTAGACGAGCATTCAAACGATGTCCTGTTTTTCTTCGATATGCCCGAAGCCCTAAGTCTTCATTTAACACCCTTTTCACCGTGGTTCTGCTTAACCCCATCTGAAGGGCCAACAGTTTCTGCTTACCTTTCGGATTTCTTTGAATTCGCGCCTTCACAGCTTTTATCACTGCTGGAGTCCTAACAGACCGAGGGCGACCACTTCTTGACCTGTCATCTACACTAGAGTCTTCATTGTATCGTTTGATGGTACGATAAACGAATCTTTTGGTTATATTCAAATTTTTCAGTATGTCAAAAATTTGAATTGGCGCGTAACCGCAACGATGCAACGCAATAACTGCAACATGGTCTTCTTTAAGCGTCCACTCCATATTTAGAAATGAGTAAATTCTAAAAAGTATACAGTTTTATTTTCATGAACAATTCGAATTCAATAAACTTTTTTGTGGCCAGCATTCTAAAAGAAAAGTTTTTACTGTGTGACAATACTTATGACCTGACTAGGTATATACGTTGGTACGTGGGTGTACATGGGCAGTCTATTAACAGCATAAACATTATTTTCTAGACTGGGGTGAATCTTTTTTCAGATATTGTTGTACATCTAATGTATCCATGATATTACTGCTATTAGTAGATTATTACAGTACAATCTACTCAATGACTAACATAGGAATGATCAATTATAGTGATTTCTAAATATTAAATTGCATTATTTTGTGTTATACAAAACGTATTTGTGTCATCAATACACTGAATAAGACGCAACACGAAGTAATGCTGAGATAAGCAACAGAATGTGAGATAAATTTGTTGACGCATAAGGTTACTATCAATTCCACTGTAGAAATTCTTTAGATTAGAATTATTACTTACTGGTAGTATGTAAGACCAAGCAACTGCACTCATCGAGTTAGTGTATGGTCGGTTGACCGCAGTGGATCTATCAATACTACATTTGTGTTAATTCAACGCATCAAAGGCCGTGGATGTAAGTGTTTAATCTATTGACAAACTTACTTTTCTTTCTGTTATTTTCTTACGTGTGTATGATTTAGTGTTAACAAATTATATTTAAATATTGTGATTAAGCCGTGGTAGCTCAGATGGTTAGCGCAAGCTGTAAATTTCGCAGTACGCGACCCGGGTTCGATCCGCGCCGGCACCAATTAAATTGTTAATTGCAATTTTAAGTGTTTATTCTATTGACAAACTTACTTTTCTTTCTGTTATTTTCTTACGTGTGTATGATTTAGTGTTAACAAATTATATTTAAATATTGTGTGTGTATATGATTAAGCCGTGGTAGCTCAGATGGTTAGCGCAAACTGTAAATTTCACAGTACGCGACCCGGGTTCGATCCCCGCCGGCACCAATTAAATTGTTAATTGCAATTTTAAGTGCTGATTTACCACGTGCTCGACGGTGAATGAAAACATCGTGAGGAAACCTGCATTTCCGATAATTTTTCGAAGGCATGTGAAGTTCGCCAACACGCATTGAGGCCGCGCCGTGGACATTTCCTAGCCATAAATACAAAGACAATAGCAGAAAGTGAAAAAGTTAAAAAATACTTTTTTAACAATGATAGTCATTAGTTGATCATTAGTGAATGTGATTCTGTTTACTTAAATTACAGGAAGACAAGAGCAGAAGGAAGAAATATGATGATGGGAAGTAATGAAGCATTGTTATGTGAAGTTTGTTGGAACAAACATATTTTTAGTCACGTGTAAATACTTTTAACATTTTGGTTCAAAATGACACAAAATCTAAAAAAATGTTAGATACATCATCGACATGGACGGATTTTACATTACATATCCTCATAAACATTTTCAATGTAGAGAAATGGCTATTCTAGATGTAAAACTATCTAATAAAAATGATGCGTTTATCGATCATTATTTGTTTCGACCAAGTTATCCTTTCAATTATTTGTCGCCAAAAGACTAAAATACTGTTCGTTATTGTGAAACACACGTGCACGGCATTCCATATTTTGATGTGACCGAAGAATTAAAATGTGCCTACAAACAAGAGAACATAATTCCCATATTAAATTGGTATATTAGAAATTTGTGCAAAGACGAAGTGATCGCATACAAAGGTGGTTCAACAGAAAAACAATTTTTAAAAATGTTGACGACGAATGATATAATTTTTATTATTGAAGAATACAAATGTCCAAAATACAATGATTTGGTAAATATCATAAATTTAAACAAACGTTATGTGTGTAATAATCATATATTTGCAAAAAATAATCACAAAATTTTACATTGTTCTTGTGACGAAGTGTGGGTTTTTTTTTTTAAATTTATTTTATGTACACACATTAAGGTACAGAAGCAGTCTTATAGTAATTACGTACAAAGGTTCTACTTATTCCAAATTCGCTGAAATATCTTCCAGTAGACCCATAAAGGAAATTATATTTAAATTGCAAACTTAGTGCATACATTAGTACTACTAAAAATAAATAATATACACAATGTTACGGAAATTATATAAAATAAAACAATAAATAAAAATAAAATAAA